AAGGAAAGGAAAGGAAAGGAAAGGAAAGGAAAGGAAAGGAAAGGAAAGGAAAGGAAAGGAAAGGAAAGGAAAGGAAAGGAAAGGAAAGGAAAGGAGCATATTCTTACATACTACTATGTTTTCATACTTACTTGGCTTCACAATGTGGGAACAAGGAAACAAAGTTGGTTGTGATCAAAACTACCTTAAATGGTGGAAGTTCAATATTGCTTTAAAGTGTTTTTCCAGGTTACTTTTCCAACAATGCACGACAGGCACAGATATTATAAATAATTCACTGTAGATGAAAAACGTAGTGAWGAAGGCATTGTGATCATTGAACATTTCAAGTTGAAAGGGACCTATAAGGATCAGGGAGTCCAACTCCCAGCTTAAATTGGTTAAATCCAGGTGGACTTCATCCTCCTGGAGAAATGCTGGCTATGACCAATGACTGCACTGTCTCTCAAGTGTTTTACCCTTGCTCACAGAAGAAACTTCTGCATCAAAAGAAACTTGACCAGAAACAACCCATGACAGGGGAAGCACTTCTGCCCCTCCCCTCTGCTCTCGTGACACCCCAGATGGCTTACTGCATTCAGCTCTGTGGTACCCCATCTAAGAAGATCATGGACATAGTGAGTTCAGAGGAAGGACACCAAGATGATCAGAGAAATCAAGAACCTCTCCTGTGAGRACAGGCTGAGACAGTTGAATTTGTTCAGCATGCAGAAGAGAAAGCTCTGGGAAGACCTTATAGCACCTTCCAGTACCTGAAAGAAGCCTTCAAGAGAGCTGGTAGAGGCTAGACAAGGGAGAATGGAAGAGAGTAGGTTGAGATTAGGTATTAGAAACAAGCTCTTTACCATGAGGGTATTGAGGCATAGAGACAGGTTGCCCAGAGAAGCTGTGGATGCCCCATCACTGGAAGTGTTTAAGGCCAGCCTGGATGGGGGTTTGAGCAACCTCGTCTAGTGGAAGGTGTCCCTACCCACAGCAGAGRGTTGGAACTAGGCAACCTTTAAGGCGTCTTCCAACACCAACCATTTAGAGCACACTCCTTGTGCTCTAAAGAAGTTCTCTCTTGATTTCCTCATATGGGTGAAGTAGTTAAATTACTGGGGGCAGGTTACTGTGTTTAGATACAAGATGGAAGGATAGGGAGCTACGCAGGAATTTGAAAAAAAGAAATCCACAGAAATATGCTTATTCAAACAACAACAAAAAATGCAAATCTACTAATAATTTTTTCCACTTTTTTAATGAAGCAATTTGAAATTGCTATATGCATTACTCTGTATGAGTATATATGCATATATGGGTACATGGTTATATGTAAGTATATAGGTATATACACGGAGTGTTCAGAGAAGTTCAAAACGTAGATGGAAGAGATTAAAATCTTTCTTTAGCATGGTTTCATTAAATGATGAAGCAGAGACACTAGTTCTAYAATCTCATCTCCCTTGTTGATTTTCTTCCTTGTTGATGAACAAAAGATACAATGTAATCTCCATGGTGACGGTTGGAACTGGAGACAAAACGCCTCAAAATGCAGCCAAGGATAATTAATCTGACATTTGCACCATTCCCTGATTTTTATTTTTTTTTAAATGATCAAAAATGAGACAAGTTTTGAAATATGATAAACATAAATTAAAAAAAAAAACAAAAACTAAAACAACAACCTAACAAAACTATTGATTTCTCATGTTAGATCAGGTGGTGATATATGCAACCTAAAATCTCCAAACCTACTTGCTTTCCTCCTTATGTCCTGCATGTTACCTTCCTAGCACTGAAGGTAAAGGATGAAAAAAATACTAGAAGTATGTAAACACAACAAGGAATAATGAGAAAAAGTAGATTTACTTTCCTTTTCCCCCTCTCTTATCCTGTATCCAAAAAGACTCATAGGAAGCAGTTCACTTGACAAAGGCAGCACAACTGAGATAATGGAACAAATGTTAGTATTCAATTTGAAATCACTTTCTCACAGAATAAACATCCATTGAAATCCTGCCTGGATATGAAATAAAGAAATATTTTTGCAGTCTAGCATGCCTGATTAACTTCCATTTGAAGAGAATGGGGAAAGAATCATGAACAGCAGGTTGAGAGGAGACCTCAAGGATCATCTCGTCCAACCTTTCTTAGAAAAGGCACAGTCTAAACAGCATGGCCCAGCACCCTGTCCAGCTTRACTGGAATGCTGCAGAATCCAACATTTCCCTGGGGAGACCAGTCCAATGGCTGGCTTTTCTCATTGTGAAACATTTTCCTCTTGTGTCCAATTGAATCGCCCCAGCAGTAATTTTTACCAATCACCCTCATCTTTTGCACACAACTCCTTGTAAAAATGGAGTCTCCATCTTCTCTGTAGCCACTTTTCAGAGGCTGGAGCATAGAATTAAGATCTTCCCTAAGATTTAATTTCTCAAAGCTAAAAAAACCAAATTTTCTTAGTCATTCCTCATGTCAGGCTTCCCAGGCCTTTGATCATCTTTGTGGCTCTTCCCTGGACCCTTTCAAGCCTGTCCAGACCTTTCTGGTACAGCAAGGATCAAAACTGAATAATGTGTTAATTCTGGAGACTGCAAGATACCCTCTTGCTACAACGACTAGAAATCTGGAAATTAAGCCCTGCCAAAACTACTTGCATGCTTTTGCTCACAACAGCACACAAAACTCGGAGTGGTTTCTACCCCTATCTGAAGGACATCAGACAGGGATACTGATCGACTGACTGACTGACTTGGGTAATCCCCCAAGTCTGTAATTCAGACCATTCTTTACAGGCGTTCACTTCCTCTCTCTTCCATTACTCCTGTTGCATATATTTCTTTGTACACACATCTTATGCTCTTCTCTTGCATACAAAGCTGTTAGGAAAAGAGAGGTAAGCACACRGAATTGTGATTATATCCTCAGGCACCTAGGGACATTCCTTCAAATGCATATAATTACAGAATAAATACTCTTATGTTCAGTGTCCACAAGATACAAAGGGAAGCAACATGTAAACATTGATTATWACTACACTCTTAGCTGAATATACACTAATTTTTTTCACCCAGCTTTTGTCAAGAAAACCTGTGGTAATTCCTGCAGAGAAGTGTTCATTCTATGGACAATTTTCATTAATTTGTTAACATGCCATAGATTATTAACTGAATCACAATACATCATAGATCTGACCCTGATTTAGATTTCCTTCATCGTCCCAGTTTTCTGAGTGACATCTCTAATGAGCAATYAGAATTTTTTATCCAAGCACATCTGTTCAAAGCCAGATAATCCTGGCCATACACTTCTATTCTTTTCTCACAAAGCTGCACGTTAAAATACGTACATAACTAATCACAAAAGTCAAAGTAGCTCAAGATTATGTTTTTTTAAAAACAAGACCTACTGTCTTTATGAGCCAATACAAAGCAATTGTAAAAGTTTTCATGCTTCATAAAGGTAACAATTCCTGATACTTTGAGCTAAGGGAAAACAATTGTGGGGACTTACTTAACATTGTTCCGAGTTGTAAATATTCTACCTTGAACAGCTGATCCAAGGCATATCCAAAAGAAGCTTCTTCCCATGCAGAATTTTAAAACTCGATGAAACCTTACTTTCATTGTTGTGACAGTCTGCTCTCCCTGCTCCCACTATTTCCAACAACCTTGCTCAAGTTATAACCAGTGAAACTTTCAATGGATCCACATGGTCATGAAGACTGTATCCAGCTCCAAGCAGATTTTGGRGAGACAAATAACAGTAGCCAAGGGCTGATCTGAGCAATGCACCTAACCATAGTGCTAATAAAGACTTGACTCAAACCAAATTTAGAAGAACCTAACTTCTGTAATTGGTATGCAAATACAATCATAGGTCAATCATCTTACTCCATAATGATTGCACAGCCTAGGGCCCCTTGAGCTCTCTTACACAGCAATGGGCTGCACATCAGGACCCACCCTTGAGCAGGGATCTTCACCAGGTTACTCCTCAAGGCTAAGAGATTCCTTGTCACCAAAGATTTTCAGTATTGATGCAAAACTTYGAAATCTTAGCTAAGTGATGGAAAGGACTGATTGTGCTCATATAGCCCTTTAGACATAAATCATTGATGATGTCGGGGACTAAGTCTGGAACCATACATATGTAAACYCCCCTTCAGGAGGGAGTCCARAATGCAATGGGGCCTTTTCTGAACCTCATGACTAAACAGGAGGGCCATCCTGACAGCTTTTTCTGACCATGTCCTCTAGCCAGTAATCAAATGTACCTCACCATTAAATCTTGTTAAAGTACTTTATTATCAGACTATGCATTTCCTATGCAATTTTGTTAAAATGGTTGCATATCAATGGTTTATATCAATTAATTCATAGCTCCTTCCCTCTCATGAGTAAATTTTGTTGCTCCATCTATGGCATTGCAAATACTCAAATATGAACACTCACTAATGACACTACCTGATTTGTCAGAAAAAAGTATTCCATTTTAAAAATACAGTATTTGAATGTTTATAAATTGCATTGACAGACAATAATCAGCTACACATTTTGCTAATCTTGCATAAGATCTTCACTATCAAAAGTAGCTACAAAAAATGCTGTTACAGAATGAATTTACTAACCCATATTTTGTATTCCTCCCCACAATGGAAAAGCACAAAGTATATTGAAACTACACAAATTAGAGGCAAAAAACTGTTGTTTCTTTGACATAAACCTTTCGTTTTACTACTGCATCACTACTCAAAACCTGTGCATTGTTATTTAAACACGGTGTTTTCCTGATTCTGCGCAGCACTTTCATCAAGTGAAATGGAAATCAAAATCAAAATCCTGGGGAAGTGTGTCACACTYATAAGCTTCAAAGCAGTGAAATGCAGAAACCTCACTAAACAGGGAAAGAACCCAATTCTGTTTCGGTCTCTTTCAGAGGGCCRCTCTTCCTTAGCAAGTCAAAGCTGTCTTAAATCAACCTTGCCAATGCATCCTCCAAATACTTAATGGGACCACCTATTTTTACACATCTTCCACTACCTGCATCTAGCCCACTTTACATTTTACAACATCGGCTGTGACTGTCAAAATAAAACCTCACAAATCAAAGAAGATTAACAGCATGATTAATAAATAAGCGCGCTTACTGTTCTTGAATCAGAGAACGGATTGTACTCATCAAGCCCTGGAGGAACATTTCTTGTCACTTGTGTAACAGAAGGATCCTAGAAGATAAAATAGTTGCGTAAATTTATGTACACGTATGTAATCAAAAAGTCAGCACACATATCATTATATCACATAAAACTCTTTCTTTTACTTTCTTTCAARGTAAAAAAGGTTTGTTTTCACTTAAAAAGTCTGTAAACATTCACCCCTTTATCTCCAAAATAACATCATTTCATTCTGATCTTCTTATAAACCTAGATTAACACAGTAAAACAGAAACCCCATCTGTCATACATTCGATTTATAAGGAAAAAAGCTCTCATCAGAGAAGGCAAAAAAAACTCTATCGTGCTATGTTGACCACTGGACTCCACTCCTATACACTCAAAATGCACAACAGAAGAAAAGAGYTTTTTGTAACCCTTGGATTTCCCTACCCAGAAGTACATCCAACTCCATCAGGAATAGAAAAAGCAATTCATAAAAACGAAGCTGAAGAAACAGGGYTCCATAATGCCAAAAGCACTTCTGGTTCAGCTTCTACCTGAACTAGTAAAATTAAGAAAAATGTGTAATTTTTTTTCCTCTATTAACTATACAGCAAGAAACACTGCTTGAGATTTAACCTGAAAAAAAACTGTTTCAGGAATGAAATATTTGTCTGCACTAGAAACAGACAGGCTTTGCTCTGCAGGACAGCAGAAGTGCTTACCAKAATGGATTAGACCAATTTAGTTTGAAAAACTCTATACTTATTCCATGTGATGCCTGGTTCCACTACATTGTTTCTGTGCTTTAAAGTTTTTGCATCTTCAGAACATAATAGATAAAAGTAAGACCTTCTCAAAAATTAACAAATCCATTTACTCAATACTGTTAGTTACACTTATATTTATGTAAATGTACAAATGTACAACATTTAATATGTAAATCAAATGCAAAAGAGAGCTATAAATTTACATTTACATATTTTATAATTGTTCAGTTTAGGTATAGGTATTTTCTTATTTCCAACAGTCTAGTTCAACATTAGAAAAGAAACTGGAATTGATAAAGACTGAGAAGAAAATAAGTAGACACATTTTTTATATTTACATTCTTTACATTTACATTCATATTTCCTTTAAAAGCAGATACATTTGAAACCTGTACACAGGATGCAAAGAATAACAGGAAGGGCTTCTACATTAAGCAGAAAAGGAAGTCCAAAACAGGTATAATCCCTGATATTGCAGCTGGCAAGAATGGAAAACTGCTAACAATGAAGGAGGAGGCTGATGTACTCCATATTTTTGCCTCAGTGTTTACATGCAGCCTCCCTTCCCACACCTCTGAAGTCGATGGATGACAGGAGAACTGGGAGAACAAAACACTACCCCACTGTAAGAGTAAATCCAGGTTCATGACCACCTGAGGAACCTGAATTTATACATGGGACCCAAGAAGATGCATCCCAGAGTCCTGAGGGAACTGGCTGATGCAGCTGCCAAGCTACGCTCCATGTTATTTGAAGTCATGGCACTCAGGGCAAGTCCCAGGTGACTGGACAAGGGGAAACATGGTAGACAATCTTTAAGATAGGAAGAAAGAAGGACCCTGGGAACTACTGACCTGTCAGCCTCTCCTCTGTGCCTGGGAAGATGGAACAGATCCTCGTAAAACCTTTGCTAAGGCACATGGAGGACAGGGAGTTGATCCGGGATATAAGTGGCAGGTTGTCCCTCAAGGATCTGTATTGGGACCTGTGTTATTTAATACCTTCATTAACAACATAAACCAACCGAGTGCACCCTCAGCAAATTTGCAGATGACCCCAAGCTCAGTGGTGCAGTTGACACAGCTGAAGGATGGGATGTAATCCACAGGCACCTGGACAAGCTTTAGGAGAGGGCCTACAAGAATCTCATGAGGTTTAACAAGCCAAGTGCAAGAACAACCCTGGTATCAACAGAGGCTGGGGGTGAACAGATCAGAGCAGCCCTGCTGAGAAGGACCTGGGGTRTGGTTGGGTGAGAGGYTGGACRTGACCCAGCCATGAGCACTCCCAGCCCAGAGAGCCAAACGTGTCCTGGGCTGCATCCAGAGCAGCGTGGGCAGCAGGGCCAGGGAGGGGATTGTGCYCCTCTGCTCTGCTCTGCTSAGACCCCACCTGCAGGGCTGCATCCAGCTCTGGGGGTCCCTGCACAGGAAGGACATGRAACTGCTGGAGYGAGTCCGGAAGAGGCAACAAGATGAGCAGATGGATGGAGCACATCTCCTATCAGGAAAAAGAGATGGGAGAATTGGACTTKCTCCACCTGGAAAAAAGAGGGCTTAGGGGCAACCCAGTTGTAACCTTCAGTACCTGAGGGAGCCTACAGAYAGGTGGAGAGGGACTTTTTGCAAGATCATGCAGTGACAGGGCAAGGTCAAGTGCCCAAGTGTATTCCCCGATGGGAAGMAAGAGTGTGAAACAAAGGTGGTCTTGGTGCTATGTGGGCACTGTTTTGGTCACAAATCTAAAACACAGCAGGATAGGGACTGCTATGAAAAAAAAWAACTCCTAGTCAGACCTAGGACACTTATTCTAGTCTTTACAGATTAAGGTGAATTAGCAGAGCATAAAATGCTCTTTGTTAATGCTTTCAGTATCATAGCCCTTTCTCCCATAGCTCTTTCACAAAAAATAGGCTGGAGTATAGACACATGTGCAACTTGTGATTACTAACCACCAGCCACATATTGAAACAATAGGTCTAATTATTGTAACTTAAATAGCACCTAGCATTTTAGGTTGAATTAGCTGCTGAAAAAGTACGTTTTAACACTGAACTTGTGTTCAAATAGTACTGTACTACTCTACTCAGCCCAGTTGTTTTTACAGACCATAAACTCAATTATTTGAACAAACACAGTATCAGACTCATGAGACACCTACTGAACAACAGCCATTTGCAAAAAGCAGGAAAGAGTGGTCAAGTCAAATTCAGAAGAGCAAGCTATAATCAGAGATGCAATATATAAACAATAATAAGTATCTGATGAAAGAAAGCCTTTCTCAAAACATTTTCTCAAAGTGTTTTAGAGAAGACTAGGGTCAAAAAGCTCCTCAGATCTCTTCATACATATACTCTGACATTCGAACACTGACAAATGAAAAAAAAACACATGCTGAGACAACCAAGTGCATGAGAGCAACAGTCTTAGCACTCAGAATTAAGTTGAACACTTAAACACACACAGTAATTAGAGCAAGAAACCCTCTATCGCAAGTCCATTCCCATTTTGAATTAACAATTGATAACATCCCTGTCAAAAACTACTATTGTTTGCTAAAGCAACAACTGCTCTAAAAAAATGTGAATGATCCAGAGGACATTCAATAACAGCTCTATTCAAGTAAAGTTTCATCACCTAGTAAAGAAAGAAAGCATTCAAATTCTGCATTCAGGAAACTTGAATTACACAGTCTGGACATCAAAAGAAGTTTGTGACACAGAAAGACTCAAAGAAAGTCATCACAGGAAAAGAGGAATCTCATAACTGAAGGAAGCCTGGAAATTTGTATGTCTCCTATACATCACTCATTGCTAGAACTAACCTCAGCTCTTCACAGCCAGGGTGCCCACGTGTAGGCACTATACTAATTGTTCTGAACACCTACAGAGCATCAAATGACTGACACCAACAGGAGCAACTCTTCGTATTTCAAAACACCACTTAGAATATTTCTGAAGAGATCAGGCCTTACATCCCACAAAACACAAAGAATTGTTTTGAATCATTCACACTCACTGCATCTCAGTTTAAAACTGGAGTAAATGCCAACTTTTCTAAACATAGTGATGAAAATTGTAAAGCATTCAGTGCTGCAGAATTAAAAAAAAAGCATTGACTTTAGAAATGTTTCAGGGTTTCAATAATGAATACGAACAATAAACATTGTGCAGGATCACATACTCAGAGAAGAGCCATTTAAATGAATGCTATCAAATTTCTATGTTGCACGACATGCATTTCTAGTGGTTAAAAACAGTAAAAACTAATATTCCACAGKAATATGTGAATCTGTGTTGTAATAACTTATTTTTCATATTGATATTCCATCCAGCCTTAYCTCATCCAAACTCCTGACAGTTCAAACCCAGAACTTCTGATCTTTTTGTTTAACTGTTAGTCACACAACCGCAAAAAAAAATTAAAAACATATCCAGCTACTGTARCTATTGGTGCATTTAAGTCACACATAGTCATTTCACATGACATTTTCAAGATCTGAATTAGTTTAGGAGACTGAAGTTTTAAGAAAGTAGTACAACTTAATTTAGCYWTTTTTTACCTAATCTTTCATTTTACTTGCTTCTTGCAGTACCTTCCCTGTAAWATCAATCTCAAAAGTAAATATTAACACACTTTTTAAAATCCAAACAAGACAGGTACAAGCAGCAACCTATTTTTTATGTCAAAGTGTCAGTTTTGCTTGGCCTGGTTTTTGGTAGCAGGGGGGCTATGAAGATGGCTTCTGTGAGAAGCTGCTAGGAGCTTCCACCATGTCCAGCAGAMCAATCCCTAATGGCTCTGAAGATGATCATGCCACTGGCCAAGCCTGGGCCAACTAGAGATGTTGCTTATGCCTTTGTGATAACATATTTAAGAAGAAATCAAAGTGAGCATGCAGGTTTTTTTCCCCTAGTCAGAGAAGAGGAGGATGTGAGAATATGTGAAGAAAACAACATGGAGACACCAAGGTCAGTGAAGGAGTGGGAGGAGGTGTCCAGATGCTGGAGCCAAGATTTCTCTCTCTGACTGTGGTGAAGGCCATGGTGAAGCAG